CATTGTAAGCTCACCCATTGGCTGCTTGGTAGGGGTAGCCACCGTAGATCGCCGAGCTGTCGTAGTAGGTCGCTTTTTGCATCGCGATGTTTCACGATCGTGATCGCACACTCTGACAGGGGCTTGACACCCGTAAGGGAGCACATTGGCACGCCCCCGCGGTCACGTGACACTCCGCCGCCAATGGCCGCCGCGTGCAGACCTGGGGGGGGGGGGGGGAGAAGTGCAGCGCGGTGAGGGCTCCGCGCAAATCCATCTTACTCTCAATAGCTAAGTGACATGAAAGCCATAAAAGAAAAAGTGGTCAGCAATATTTAGCAGCACGACGTGGCCCCGGGCGCAGGGAGCCTCGCTATAAAAAGCTGCTGGAATTTACTGGCAGCTACAAATATTTGCTTAACTTGCGTCTGGAGTTGGGGGATTTTCCCGCGGAGAGAGGAGCTGAACCAGTAAGGGCTGGAAGCTGGATCTCTGGAGTCGAGGTCCAAAATGAGGAAGGCTTTGGAGGCTAGGTTGGGTCTTTCTTTTCCAATAGAAACCGCGGTGTTCCTTTGTAGAGACTGAGGCTCTCTTGATATCTTGGGGAACCTCTAAGAGGGCAACGGGTCGCCATTTTTCTCCAATCCCCGTTTTAGGGTTTATATTTGCCCCAAAGACGTAAGATAGTCAGACTTCCTTCCTAGCCAGCCTTTTCCTAGAGCTCTCAAAGGAGGTTTACACACACACACACACACACACACACACACAGAGAGAGAGAGAGAGAGAGAGAGAGCGAGAGAGAGAGAGAGAGAGAGAGAGAGAGCGAGAGAGAGAGAGAGAGAGAGAGAGAGAGACAGAGAGAGACAGAGAGAGACAGAGAGAGAGGGAGGAGGGAGGGCAGCTAACCACTGACCTATCGGACCATGATGGACTTGAGAAGCTGAGCCTGTTAGGCAGTTAGCCTGCTTTAGTTCAGGGCGGAGGACCAGCCTCCTCCAAATGAATCCTATGAGATCAAGAAGTGTGGGAGGGAGACAAAACTTTGGGTGGGACTCCTCTCTCTCTCTCTCTCTCTCTCTCTCTCTCTGTGTGTGTGTGTGTGTGTGTATTGGAGGGGATGTGTTGGGAACAACTATCACCACCACCCCACCCACAAGCCACAACTCAAGCCCTGTGACTTTCTATACGCTTTCTCCTACCCTGTGACTTTCTATACGCTTTCTCCTACCCTGTTTTCCAGGCACTTTGAAACAAGCTACCCCAACCCCTTTTTCCAAGTTACAAGAGGTTCCCAGACGCTCTCCTGCCTTAGACTTTCTGATGTGCTGTTATTCTGGGCAGCTATCAAATTCTACCTGTTAAAACATGATGGATTAGAGAAAAAAAACAACCCACCGGGAACCTGAAAAACCAGCGTTCATCTCCATGACCACGGCTTGAACTCTCCTTCCAACTTAACGATAATAGGTTCTGTCTTAGAAACTGCTATGCAATTTGATGTATGGGGGTCATTTGGCTCCAGAGAAGGCATGGAAGCACAAACCATAAACTCCTGCCAGACTTCCCTGATCTTTGTATACTGTTGTTGAATTATATTTGTTATTTGGTCTATTTTCCTCCTTCAGAAATACTAAGTAAAGAGAAACCTAAGAAACAACTAAATATCTCTTTTATTTAGAAAGCAGTTTGTAGGAGTGACATCTGTGTTCTCTTGGTTTTCAACTTTTGCATGGTAAACTTCTAATTCTCAACAGGAAAAGTTCCTTGTGAGTCACACACACACACACACACACACACACACACACACACACACACACACAGAATGCTAGTCCCTCTGACCATTAAGAAAATTACCGACAAATCCATGCAGATAAGGTTTTACATTTCAGACCCCAACTATGATTCTTTAATCTCAGTTATTTAACTTTTTCTAGAAATAGCAGAGATCACCAGAAAAAAAATTTAACAAGCATCCACCAATGGGTGGTTATAATTTTGCTTTTAATAATGAACTCCCTTAGATCACCATTAAACCAACAGTCTGATCAACATCTGGAAAACAGGCACAATTAATTTTCCAGAACCTCAATAAAGAATCACAGCAGCACTTATCCAGAGTTATTGTGCATGGTCATGAACCCTGGAGTATTGTTTCCCTTTTGGAAATATTTAGGAAGCTACAGATAACACTATGGAAAGTAAATAAAGGGTAAAATAAAATTTTAAAATGAATTACAATTTAATGTCTACTTTTCTCATTCTTACACTGAAAACAGTTCCTATTATATTTGGCAGTGTTAATGCCTGTCATTATACATTCTTGAGATACCAAGCTTGATAAAGGTAAAATGTCAGGTTAAGAAAAATCACTCTAGACATTTAAACAGCAAGATATTAGATGAAACAAAATTAAGTTGATTTTGAACGTGCAGTGTTTCTAGTGACTTTCTAAGCCATTAGCACAGGCTATACCAGCCTGATGCTTGCTTAAGCCTTTTCATCAGACCGTACCTTGTCTTTTAAAATACCAACAACAAAAACCTTTAAAACTCAAAGAGCATAAGGCAGCGTTCACAAACTTAAAACAGGAATTCAACTTAGAGGTCCCATTGTTTGAGGTCCGCAATCACCTTGGAGCCCACACAACCCGCCCCCTCCAGCCCCCAAAGTTTTCAACCTAGTAAAGAAGTTGGAGGTTTGCCAGCCAGGAAACTTTGCTTTGTCCCCCCAAGCAAGGGCTGAGGGTGGAGGGAGATTCCTCCCCAACGATCTGTTCCTGGACAATAACCTCCAGGTGCTAGAAGCTGAAGCGAGTGAGGAGGCTGAACTGAGTACAGGAAGCAAGCCCTGTTGTCTCTACACAAGGTATGCCCAAATTCCACCTCCTCCTCCAGACTCCAGCCCCTCTCCTTCCCTTGGCTGCCCTCGCCCGAGTTTGAAAGGGGAGGTCGAGGTAGAAGCCCGCGGTCCCAACCCACTCCTCCCTTTCTCACCAAGCCAGAAAAGTTGAGGCTGGGCTAGGGGAAGAGGGGAGAGTGGGGGCGGGGATGGGAGCGCGGCCTGAACTGAAGTGTGAGGGTATCAGTCACTGCCGGCGAGGAAGCTCCGGCTTGTGAACTCTTCTTGAACCGAGATTTAAGTCTCCAGCCATAAATCACCCAGACATACACTCTACCATTCAGTGCTGAGAGAGGCCGGCGGTGGCCCGGCTT